TCAGCCCCCAAAGGAGTGTGTGTGTGTGTCGCCATATTTGTTTTTATTGCTCTTCCTTTTTGTTTATTATGTGATCTTGCTCCATATGTCCCGAGCAATTTGTGTGCGTGAGTTTTCCAGTTAATCGCACAAAATTTTATGTTAATTTTCATAAATTTTATTGCCGCCCCACCCGCCCAAAAACCAGCTCTACACTTCTAACCCAAACCAAAGCAGCCGAAAGAGAAAAGGTCTTTTTAATTAGTTTGCCTGTGTGGGATTTATTTTATGTGCGTAATAAGTTTTTTATGACAAGGGCAGCTGGTGGGGGCGTCTTGTTTTGTTTTTGTTTTAAGAGTTCTAACCCATAAAGTTGACACTAAACAAAATACTCGTGTTGTCTTTAAGTGCTTTTTAGTATGTTTTTCTTTAAATATTTCTGCTTTTTTTTTAAGCTGCACGCAGTCAAGTGTCAAATTATATTTGAAGGCGCTTTGGAAGCTGTTAACATTTAGCCAGGGCTTCAAAATTGTGGCCAATAAAGTTGTAAATAAATAAAAAACTGTGTACAGAATTATTTAAGCTGATAATTATCTATAGACGATCTTATGCAGATGAGTATACGATATGGAATTGAATGAAAAAGATGATCAGAAAACAGAGAAGGAGATACGAACTAGAAAACAGGCGTCATTCGACCTTTCATTTCCTGAGAGGTCGGTTCCCATAAGTAGGCAGATATTTTCGAATATTCAAGGCTTTTTAATATCTAATATCGATATGATAGTTAATAAATAGATTCCTTTTAAATTTGACACAAAGAAGAAGCTAACAAGCCATTGATTCTCTAGCAGCAGCTTTTGGCGTAAAGCTTACGGATATGTGACAAAACGAAATGAGAAAATCAAACGCATTCATAGAAAGCTTTCAGTAGAGAGGGAGAGAGCTTTGCCTTTACTCTCAGTGAAATTCGCTCGCTCTCTCGCAATAAATAGAAAGAGAGTGAAAAGCGTGTGTGGCCTAGCGAGTGATGAATGTGTCAAAGGTCGCACAGCGAGTTCCATCGATCATCGTCAGACTGATTTTTGGCATGTGTGGTAAACAGTGAAATGAATGCGTGAAAGAGGAGCCTCCCTCTTGAATTCAAAACCAGATCGATCACTGACGAAACCAGTGCAAATATCAAAAGAATGCAAACTGAACCAAATGGATATTTGATTTGAATACATGATGATATTGAAAAACGACACGCATTGTGGTTATATCAAAAACTGTCACAGTGTTTGGCTAGATAATGAACAGCTGTTTGTGTGTGGCTATAGAACTAATCGAAGCCTAAACAGATCTGCCTACCAATATGATAGATGGACGAGCCAATTTGACTGAGTGCGTGGCGAGTTCGAATTATCGGAGCTGCGGCTAATGTAATTACATACAAAAATAACAAAAGAGCAGCAAAAATGGACAGGCAAGGGCAAAAGCCCAGCGCATCAACTTAATCATTTTAACTAATTGCCAAAAGAGTCAGATAGAGCGGGAGGCAGAGAGTGGTAGACAGTGAGACAGGGGCATAAAAAAAAGCGCTTAAAACGACAGAAGTGGGCCCAGGGGACAAGAAGAACTGAGCGAACCAATTATGTTGATGGTAAACAAATTGCGCACGTTCCGTTGGCATAAAAATTAGTAACAAAAAATACAAGAAGAGCAACGAAAATAAATTGATAGCTACTTAATACAGCTCCTCCATGTAAACAGAGAGAGAGAGAGCGAGAGAGAGAGGACACGCCAAGCGCAAACTGAAAGATCTAATTACACTAATGACAGCCAGCCAAAAGAAAAGTACACAGTTCAAACCCCGCCTCAGTCGCCCTCTCGACTCGACTGGCTGCAATTAAAGCGTTTCAATTGCGCTGCGTGCAACGGCGACATAAGGTCAAAGTCAAAGAGAGTCAGCTGGCAAATGAATTGGCACGGGAATTATTCGATTCGAGTGCAAGTATTCATTTAATATTGAAGCCATTTAAATATACAGCTACTGTCTCGCCGTGCACACGCAATGCCCAACTTTGCCTCCCGGCTGTCTGCCAGCAAATGGCAAATGAAGCTATAAGCCCAGCCTGAATGCCTGTGCCTGTGCCTCTGCCTCCGCCTCTTGCCTTCACTTCTCTCCTTTTTTGGCATCCTTTACTTCCGTCACAGCATTTAAGCGGATTGAGCGCCTGTTGACGCCTCTCAAATTTCCAGAAAGCCGCTTGCCACACATCTCACGACCGCACAGCACGCTCATTAACAATCCACCTACCAAAACGAAACACAAGCAATGTAAACCTATTCGTATCCTGCGTCTTCTTGCATCATCAGCAAAGGGTAAGCCCCACGGAAACCCTAAACGTGCCCAAGAAATGGGGCGTTGCGCAGACCTCACATTGAGCTCAGTTTACAGGTCGAAAATGGTATACGGCTCTGTCTATAAGGCTGAGAACTCTTTCGGTTTTCGTGTGTGTGTGTGAAATAGAATGTATGACATGTGTGTGAGACTTAACACTTTTGGCTAATATAGTTGTAATTATTTGAAGTTGTGGGAGATTGTTACACTAACTGGGCTTATAAATTAGAGATCATTTATTTCATTTTAATAAGAGATCTTAATTTTGGAAAATGTTAACTATATAGTATTAGTTATATATCACAGCAGAAGCTTCTCTATAAGATAAAAGAGGTTTGGGCAAGAGGCTTTAGCATAGCGCTTGTGCTTCTTCTTTCCCTACAAAAGCACTATGGGCTATATGTTCCTAAGTAGCTCCGGTCCTTAAAGTCCGATCCTTATGAAATTTTCAGCGCTTAAATATGGCATACAAAAGTGCTTATAAATCCAAATCCCAAGGCTGTAACTTTCAAAACAAACGAACTTTTGCCAATATGAGGCGAAAAGGCGAGAGGTACCTACTGTGTGAAATATTCTAAGTCTGAACATTCCCTACGAGAAACTACATAATATGTTTGGTTTTGTCTAGCTCCTATATTTCTCGAGTTAAATGGAAAAAAAAGGCCATATATGTAAATATTAATAAATATAATTGAAAGAATAAATCTCTTAAATTTATATAAATAAGAAAACATAAAAAATATCAACTAGTTCGCGTAATACCCAAATGAAGTGTAAAATATTAGGCAGAAATCCATAAATTCTTAAGCCAGTCTATAAATGTCAAGCAAATATCACGCGTAATCCAATCTAGTAAAAATTATAGACCCACAAACAAAACAAGGGAACAAAACCACACACAAGACGTTCTAATTATGATTGATGTGGCAAACAGGGACAACTCCAACAATATTTGGCCACGGCTTCAAGGTGTCCATTGAAAGGGCATCAAACGCGCACAAATGCCAAAAGGCAACTCAAGGAACTCGAATGCAAATCGTAAATATGAAATTATTTTAATATTTTGTTGGCACAACACAACAAATTTCAATATAATGTGAACGGGAATAGGGACAACCAACCGCACAGAGAGCGTGGAAAATGATCTATTGCCGTGTCGCAGAAGGTTGGGTTGAACAAGGACAAGGTCTGATCTTTGCTCAGGCAGATGCTGCAGCATCCTGTGCTGTTGTCCTTAGCCTTCGAAACCCAATTGCAATTTGAATTCAATTTAGAGCAGAGTTTGACTTGTGCCCTGAGACAGGCGAGAGAGGGCAGACAGGGGACAGAAGAGAGTCGAAGAAAAGAAGGCATTTGGTTTGTTTGCTTCTCGTTTTTGTATCTCGTTTTTTTTCTTTTGGGAAATGCATGACAAAAGGACATGTGCAACATTTAAGACTGTGCCCCTTTTCATTTTTTTTTTTTGACGCGCAGCCATTTTGACTGCGACTCAACATTAATCAAAGAGTCCTGCGGAATACTGCGCGTGTCCCGGGCGCTAAGAAGTCAATTTATCTATATATATGTATCGAAAAAGTGGGCAGGACTAATCCAAGAATAAGAAGTGTAGCCTGCAATTAGCTGCGGCCTCTATTATGTTGTGCAATGAATGAAAGTGAGATTGCAGCAAGTGTAGATCCTCCGGTTCCGCAAGATCTCTTAGATCCCGTAGATCCTTGCCCTTTCTATTGTTTGCCATTTGTAATTGCGCTGCCCACTTTCACACTCTAGCTGCGGGCCTCGACACCTGTGCCAGGACACACAGCTGGTGGGCCTGTTGGGTTTTGCCTTCTCTCCAGCTCTGACCTCATGGTAATTGCAGTTCCTGTGCGAGTTGGGGGTGTTGCGCCTTTAGCGGCTTAAGAGTTTAAGGTGTTGGCAAAAAAATAAATAACTTAAACGCTGCCGCACAACTTCAAAAAAGGAAATAGCAAAAAAAAAACTAACTGATGTTCTAATAGACAAGACTGTATTCATCAGCCGGTCAAGTCTTTGATATGCCTCAAGGCAGTAGCCACAATTCGCAGAACCTGAAACTACAAAACGCACCGACAACATAAATGGGGATTACTGTGCGTCCAATGCTACTTCTTCGTTCTCAAATAACTAAGGTGCATTCTTGAATAACCAAGGTGTTTACATTCTGATCAGTGCGAAACTTTCAGGTCTTGGATATAGCCTCCAAATATGTGTAAATTCCGAAGCACAAAGCTGTACCTTAATATGTATGTTTCTTTTGCTTGTTGGAGGAATGAGCTTAGCTATTTGAAATGTGAAATATGTTGCATATGTGCATACTATACGAAAGACCACATACCAAATTTGGTGTCTCTAGCTCGTATAATCCTCGAGTTATGTTTAAATAAGCAAGTCTCAAAATAGATATCTATCGATTTCGTGGAAAGCTATGGATCAATTCAAATAAACTTGACCTGGGCGAGCAGATCTTCTTCTTCTATGACAAACAGAAGGATATACTAGAACGACTCGTCCATTAATGCTGACCAAGAATATAAACAATTTATCTGATCCCAGCTCTTACACACTCTCACTAAATCATAAAACCCCTTAGTTCCTACTTTTATGTAGAAACTTCATATTTTCAGACATATTTTCTATTTTCGTTCACAACAACAAAAACTTTACCCTGCCCACAAAAGTCACATAAATTCAAAGATATTACACAGGAAACTAGCCAAATGATAAATCAGAATGGACAAAAGCTCCTCCAGACGCTCGTCGATCTGGGCGGTTGGCGGACAGTTCCGCAAATCGTCAACAGGCTGTCATCAAATAATACATATTGCGAGAAGTACTTTTTGGAACAGATCGTAAGGGACACATTGGCTGTGGGTGTGAAGGCTGGCATCATTGAGGAGTCCACAGAGGGTCTCTACAGGGCGCAGATCAGTTCGCCCTACGTCAAGCTCTTAAAGTCTGGTATTGCCAAATGAAGGTCTTGTTGATTTTAAATTTGAATATTCATAAATTGAATTTCGCAGCTAATCGCAATAAAATTTGCTGGCAATTTAGCAAAAATGTAACTATTTATCCATATGAGCACTTTTTTATTGGGTTTGAACTAGCGACTTCTCTTATATTGTTCCGACGCTCGAAAAATTGTTCTGCTTCAAGGCCAGCAGCTGATTCTTTTCCTGACTTTATGTTTATCTAGTGTAAAGGTGCATGAAAGGGGCGTGTCCCTTAGGACTTATTAATGAAACGTTTTAAATACAGATTAAAGGCAAGGCAACGAGCTCAGGCTCAAAGATGCAGCTTTCTTTTTTTATATATACATTTTTTTTTTTCAATTTTATGTGCGTCTCTTGTGATTTTTTAGGGCGTTGCACAACGCCTGTTGCAATGACATAAATTTGAAAATCGCAGGCAACACAACATAAATACACAAATAAATAAATACGAGCGGGCATTTGAGAGAGAGGCCTCAAGTAATTTAACGAAATTACGCATCGTTTAAGTTGTGATTTATGTGGCATAGAAACCAAAACCGAAACCGAAAACCCTTCAGCCTGAGATACACACACTGAGGCACACACACACACACTCGTATTGCCTCGTATTGTTAATGAGTCGAATTACACACACAGACACAGAGACATGGAAGAGGGGCAGCTAAAAGGGGGGCACACAGCGGCTGAGGCTCTGGCTGCTGAGTGGCCGCCGAAAGGTGTGACAATTGTTACACACACTCACTCACACACACACACTCAACACACGCACACTCAACACACAGATAAGGCCAGGCGCATGACTCTGGCAAGTTGGCAAAGATTTATGCGACTGCCAAAGGAATTCCCAGAAAATGCGAAACAATTCCTTGCGGTCCTGATCCTGGCCAGCCGCAAGGCACTCGGCCCGGAGCAGGGGCTGCAGCAGGGGGGAGGGGCAGCGCCCTTTTGTCTAGGCAAACGGCTACCGACCGTGTTTAAGGCTTTTTGCATATTGCAAAACACAAACGTTTTAACGGAATTGGCTACTGGCATTTGCGGCGGCGCATAAAAAAGAGAGAGAGAAAAAAAGAAACAACCCAAAAAGCGGCTTCGGTAGCCGCCAATTCCCTCGAGCGTTGCTCGGCGGCACAATTTATCAAAGCGGCGGCGGCGGCGGCGGCGGCGGCGGGTTTTTTAAAAGAAGAAGAAGATGCACTGCATCCGAAATCCGGCAACGATTCCCGTTGCCCAGTTGCCCAGTTCCCCTGAGGGCATTCGCTCGGTCCGGCCTTTTGGCCAGCGAAACGCAATGAGTTTCATTAATAAATTCCAACAACATTTTTCTTTCTTTCCCAAACCAAAAAGAAGCAAAGAAAAGCGAGTGGAAGATCTGTTTTCTGGGCGTGCACAATGCATAGAATATGTTGAAATTTGTATGGAAAATATTTGGTAAATATTTGCGGACTGTGTCAAAGGTCACAGCACACAATTGCGTGTGTATGTGTGTGTGTGGCGTGTGTGAAAGGCTCAGAGCTCATAATAAAAGATGAGCAAGAAATTTGCCAGACAAAGAGGATTTTCTTGTGGGATATATTTTTTAGGGAAATAATATATGCAGTTGAAGGTAATATGAAAATTAACTTTTAGGCATATATTAAATGTTTAATAATTGATTTAAATGTAAATTTGTAAGTTGCCATTTGGCCTTGTCCCCGGTCAATTATATATTTTCTATTTTCACCAATTTTCCATAATGTCGGGTGGAATTATCCTCAATCTCTTTAGAGAGAAACTTATAATATTCCTGGTACATCAGGCAGTCAGTTAGTCAATCAATCAGTCAATCAATCTACTCTTATGATTTCTATACATCCGTCAGTCAGTTAGTTAATCAATCAGTCAATCAATCGGTCAGTCAATCAATCAGCTCTTACGATTCCTTGTACTTGAGTCAGTTAGTAGTCAGCCAATCAATCAGTTAATAAATCAATCAATTAATTAGCCAATCAATCAGGCAATTTAAACAATTTTATATTTTATATAAAGATACATTTATGCATACCTCATTTAGCATTGCGCCTCTTTAATCCAGATTTCATTTAAAAAGCTCTGAAAATAAAATAATAATAAAATATTTAGAAATAGTTAAAAACAAATACAGATATATAAATATTCAAGTCGTTATTCCTACTTATTAGGCGCGCTTCCCTTACGAAAATTGGAAAATTAAAATAAAATCGGAAACAAATGTTAATTGCATGTTATAAATAAATTTCTAACCGTTTCCGGTAAAACAGATTGTGGCAAGTGGCAAGTGGCATAAAGTGCTGCCGGATGAACACGTGCCTTCTCCAAGTGCCTGCATCGATTCAAAGGGGAAAGTCAAGTATTCGAATGCAACGATAAAGTCGAGCATTTCAAAGCGCAGCGGAAGTGCCAGAGAAATGGGATATGCATATGGGATTGAGCTTAGGAAATGCCCGATTCAAGATGCGCCCAATCTTTAATGGTTTCTGGCGTCATTCAGAGATGCTTTGAATGCATTCAACCATTAGGCATTAGTTAAGAAGAAGCAAATGCACTCATCATCAATCACAAATGCCGGCCACGTTGGTGGCCCCGACTTGAAGTTGAAGTAGAAGCGAAAATTGTTTATGAATGACCCAAAGATGTCGCATTGTTTTTACACACGCACTCGCTGGACCAGGACGAATGCACGAGATCCTGGCGGCATTTGCACAAAGTGAAAGTGTTCAATTTCGCCAGCTCAAAGAGAGAGAGAGAGACAGAGAGAGAAAGAGAGTGACAGAGAGAAACACAACGAGAGCTCGTTAAAATATTAATGAGCAATTGGGCGGCAAGAAAATAAGAAACACTTGAGGGGGAGAAAGTCCCAGCGACAGTTTACAACACTAATTAACAAGCGAAATTTTTTTTTATTCTTTTTTGTTGCTTTTCTGTTTATTTTGTTTATTTTTACAAGTGCGCCAAGTGGCACTTGGCCGGGTTCTTGAACTGGTTCCAAAATCTTGTAGCTGCAACTATAAATTAGGCGGCTGCTGCTTTTGTTTTCACAACTTGTGTTTTTCTTTGCCCGAGAGCCCGACTGACATTTTGGTGACACACGCGTTTGCCACCGCTGTGAGGCACACACACACGCACACACACACACACACACACACACGAAATCTGTGGCACATCCTGGGCAAAGGAAGCTAGCAAAGCGCGAACACACACGACGTTTGCCATTTGACGTTTGCCCTGCTGAAAGTGTCACATTGACAGCCTGACATGCCCACTTTGCAGCGTACAGCCTCTGCCCATATGCGCCGCGCCTTTCTCACGCCCTCAGACTAGATCGCCATATGCGAGGGCTGTTCTTGTAGTATAAATAAAGTTTTGGTATTTCAAATATATTCACTTCTATATCACACGTAAAACAGGATTCATTTATTTGTCAAACATTGAAAAAGTTCGATTTTCTTTCATTTCCAATATATCGATTGATTTTCTCCCATCTACAATCAATGATTCAAATTGAATTTCTCCCATTTCTACATTTTAGATAAACATGTCTCCCAATTCCACAACATCGATATATATCGATGCATCCCATTCGCAGTGCATCGATATGAATATCGATTTATACCATTACCAGAATAACGATATAAATCGAATTGTAGATTATCGACACATTTAAAATGTTCTCACATTTTAGGATATCGATAAAGATCGCTTTATCGCATACCCTGAATATAGATATATATCGATTTATACCATTTCCAGAATAATATTTTCAATATTCTGAATATCGACAGTATCGATATATCTCCCATTTTCAGAACATAAAGTGGGCGTCAAAGGGAAGAAGAAGCACTGCCGCTGCACAAGGTGAGGTCGTAACGACAGCTCGAAGCTGGGTTCAGGGTATCTGCCAGTCGAGCACACCTAACTCAAGTGCTCCTGGCCGTTTCTTTACAAATATTTGTTCTATTTCCCATATATGCCTGTGACAACCCTCGCCTGCCTACCGAATGTTAAATCTCTGGTGAGTGTTTTGTTAGCGCATAAAAGTGTCAAATTACAAAAATCACACGAAAGAAAAGCAGGAGAAGACAAGGAAGAAGAATACGATGAAGAGGGGGGCCTAGGCATAAGCGGGATTAGAGCGCTTGTTAGTCGCGGCAGACTTTTAGCAGCGACTGTTACCGCTGCTAATTGGCATTGCCTCGCCTGGACAAAATCAAATGAAAACTGACAAACTGTCAAGAGCTGGGCAAAAGACTTTTTTCCGCTTGCATTTTCATTTGTTTCTAACACCTCAAGCTGGGTTAATTGGCAATGACAAAGGTCTTGACTTGTTTCTTGACTCGCGAGCCGTGCATTTTGAAATGCAATTTGCTGACATTGCAAACTATACTCGAGGGGTAAAAAACTAAGAAACCGCGTTGCGTAATTATACAAAATGACAGACGGACGGGCCGACGTTTTGCCAACGAATTGGGCGTTACTCTAATATTTGCATGTGTTTCATATCCGCTTCGGTTGGGTTAGTTGACTTTTTTTTGCGCTCTTGTTTAGGTGGTTTGCTTTTTTTTCGAAGCACACTCCATATTTACCCATAACCGTGCATTATTTGTTTTGCAATACCTGAAAACACAGCAATTGTTAATGTGCCGCAATCAGCATTTAGCTAAAAAAAAAAAAGCTTGTAATTAGAGGCAAAGGGAAAAACGACACATTTCCATTGAAATGCGCCAGTTTTGTAAGGTTTTGTAATAGTTATTTTCAAATTTTTTGCATATAATCATGCTTATTATATGCTCCATGGAAAAACTTTCAATTAATAGCACGTATTTTGAGGGGTTGAGTCTAGGCAGGCATTTTAGACTTTTCAGACATAAATTATGGAATGTTTTTATTGACTTCTAGGCAAATGTTTGAAGGCTTCACAAAGCCACTTTTAATAATCAAATTTGCCACTTAATAATATTTTCCATAATTATATTTCTTTGAAAATTTTGCTTGAAAACTTTTTTACTCTAAAATATTCATAATATTTAAATGGATATCTTAATATTGTTATTAATTATCATTATTTTTATAGATTATATATTATATACGTATTATATATTATAATTATTATTACAAATCTATTTTAGATTATTTGTATTTTAGATCTAAAACAATAATAACTATTTATAACATTAATAAAGTATTTATTAAAATTAAATAACTATTATATATTTAAAATATTTATGAATAAAAAAACTTATTCAAAATATGCATAATTAATTGTCTTAAATAAGTGCAAAACTAGGCTCAATTATTAAGTACTATAACTAATAAATATAATTTTGATAAATTAATATAAATTACAGAATTTCATCAAGAAATTCATTTTATTAAAAAGTCTAAAATTAAATATGAGGAAAATAAGCTAGATATTGTCCTAAAATCCTTCAAGTTATATTACTAAACTAATTGAATATTCATATGATTATTATTAGTACTATTATACGTATTATGATATTAATTAATATATAAATAACATTTTTACTTCCAGTTAAACACAACTGTTGAGAAAAAAAAATATTTAATAATATGAAGAGCATTAAACATAAATTTTTTAGGCCAGCATATAAGAAAGAATTTCAACAAGTTGCAGTTAAAAATATAAAAAAAAAAAACATAACCTTGAAAAAAGAGGTCCTTGGCGCGTGTGAATGCAACTGTTGCTAATTAGCCAAAACAGGCGCTCAAAGGCATACAAAATCAAGCGAATATGTGAGCACAAGATAAAAAAAAACAAACAACAACAGAGCAGAAACGAGAAGTAAAAAAAAAACTCACTCAACAGCGCAGCGGAACGTGTTGGAATTGTGTGAAACGCAAAGGCGCTCAACGGCAGCGACAACAGCCTGGCAGAGAGATAACAAGAGACGAGACAACGGCGAAAAGTTGTCTAAAATCCAAAAAATAACAAAAAGAAAAACTACAGCAACAACAACAACAACAAGGGAAACATGAAAAACCGCAAGCAAAACGTTTACACTTCATAAATGCCAGAGCATGTGTCAGAGCGAGAGCGAGCGATAAAGCGCCGACATTTTTAATTGTAAATGAGTTATGACGACGACGACGTCGACGTCGCAGCAGCAAACGTCTCTCTGCTCATCGCTGCGGCCGCTGAGTGGCCGTCAACACGCAGCGCACTCCCACTCAGGCACTCAGTTAACGGCAGCGCATGCGTGCGAGTGCAATGACAGGCGGCATGCAATACACACGCCTAATGGCTGTCACGCTCTTGCGCACACACCACAAGCCCCCTGCCACAGCTCAGCACTGTTGTTCCCAATTGCAAATATGAGTTGAAATATGTTTTTGGTCTTCCAGCTGAATTCGCTGCGTCTGCTGTTGCTGCTCGCACTTGTGCGCATTATGTGGCCGTGCAGGGCATGTGCTAGCTCGCTCGCACTGCATGCCGGCTAGTTGGAAAACTGGTTTCCCGCTGCCATTCGTCGCTGCTGCTGCTGCTGCTGGCTGCCTGCCTGACTGACTGCTGCTGCTGCTGCTGCTGTTGCTGTTAAAGCCACAACACGTTCCCTCACAATTTCCAACACACAATTCAGTTCGTCGTCGCCTGTCTTACGTAGCGCACACACTCAATTCGCGTTGCGCTGCATTTTCCATACACAAACATACACACACACACAACTCGCGTGAATTGCATTTAGTGAGTGCCCGCTTCAGGTGTGCGTGTGTCAGTCTTAATGCGTGCGTGTGTTGCATTTACAGTTACAGTTACCGTTACAGTTACACACATGTAAAACAAATACAAAGTGCTACAAAAATGCTGCAAAATTGACAAGTGCAAACAAGTGAAGTATAAAAAGAAAGATACAATACCCAGCAGATACAATATCTGAGATACACTCAAACACTCTCAAAAGCTAATTGCTCTGCCAAATAAAAATGCTTGTCGGCTCGCATCCGTATCTATGCAATGGCGTTCTGCCGCCCGTTGTTGCCACAAACAACAACAACAACAACAACAATGGAGCCACGGCAACGGCAACAACAACAACAACAGCCACAGCGGGCAGCAAAAGTGCCGCCGGCTCCGCAACGGATTTCTCAATAGCCGCTATTATGGCACGCGAGGAAACCTCCAGTCGCGAATCCTCGGTGCGCAGTGCAAGTAAGTTCCAGCAGAAGAAGCAGCAGCAGGCATATATACATGTATATCTATTATACATATATATATATACATGCATATCTGTTAAGTTACTAGGCAATTTCTTCGGCTTAAAGCTGATGTTTGGCAAGTTTAAAAAATATTTGTTTTTATATAAAATGAAGACGCTTTTGGGGATCGAGCACACTTAAACCCAAAAAGCGTGAGCGTAGGCATAGTGAGATATATATAAGATACTTTGGTTTCACATTCTTGAAGCTTTAACTTGATTTAAACTCATTTTGAGTTGCATATATATGTTTAAAGTTCCTTAAATACTTATTAAAAGCAATATTTTGAACTGTTTAAAGTTTGTGAAACTTTTGAGCGCAAATCTTGCATATTTTGCATATCTTTGCAGCATTGCCGAAGCAGCTTTTGCCTTAGATACAAAGATTTTTATATGTTGAACTCTATTCCACTTGCAAACTATGAGAATATTTCTCCACAAATTGAAGAGCTGAAAACTCAACTCAGCGCATTTCAGATTAAACTCAAGCGGCTTTTACTTAAATTAAGCTAGACAAAGTAGAAAGTTTAGAATGCCTTAGATATTAAAGCAACTCGACTTTAAAAGGAACTACATTTCCAGCCTAAAATAAAGTCAAGCACATTTTTAAGCAACTTTTGCTTAAAGTAAGAGAGCTTTAAAAGTGCACGCCCAAGAAAACAAATCAAATTTCGTTAGTTTTACTGATTCGCAAGCCTAAAGCTGCTTGAAAGATTGACAAAAGAAGCTTTTAGAATGAGCTTTCAGCGTAACACTTAAAGCTTATAAGCTGAGCTTTCACAGTAGCAAAATAAAGTAGCTTTTATGAATCAAAAAAGTCTCTAATCAAAACAAAATACATATTAAAAGCAAAAAAAGCTGCACGAATACTGTTTTATCAAATTAAAGCTTAGACTGTCTTAAAGCTCCACTCGAATCAATTAACAGATCATTTGCAAAAGCCCGACGGCGCAAGAAATTGTTACTGTCGCATTCAAATTAAACTCTTGATATGCAAATGTCGCTGAAAAGTGCACTTGAAAGAGCTTAAAGCTTGCATAAGCTTAGAAAATTGTGTTCAAATCAATGTGTAGCAAAGTAAGATAATAAAAGAAAAGCGACAAATGGCTAAGCAAATAAAAACAAGATATTTAATTACTGTGGACAATTAACGTGGACCGTCAACGCTAGCAAAAAAAAACAAAAACAAAAAGAAAAACTTGTTTCCCGGCCAACCGACGGCAATTAAAACTAAGTCAGGGGCAAAACACACGAGAGCGGACAGTTAATCGAACTATAATCAAAAGTCGCGCAGGCAACAATTAAACAAAAAACTTAAAAAACAAGCAAAAAAAATCGTAAATTTTCAACAAACAGCAAATTATGTTAATTAGCCAGAAATTTGTATTAATTTAACGAGGCGCAAAACTCAGCGACGGCAAAGTCAAATATTTATTAAACAAAAATGTGCATAAATAATAATATGCAGAAGGAAAAGCAACAAAAACAAAAACAAATGAAATTTTTTAGCTGATTTTGCGCTTGCAAAAGCCAACAGCTGGGCAGAGGCGGCGGCGACTAAGCAGGTATAGGGGGGAGGAGGGGTGAAGACGTCTGCTTGTAGAGCATGAGCAGAGCTTATTAGCTAGAGCAGCTGTTTTATGCACTCGTTTTTTTGTTGCCTTGAGTCTTGCATTTGGCTTGTTTTGTGTGCAATAAAAAATGAATTAATCAAAACACAAAAAAAAAGTGCAACTGGCAGCGACTTTGTTAACTTGTTTTAATAGCCAATTTACGAAACGCAGCGGAAATTGTGACGACGGCGTGTCTGCCACAGCCAGCTAAAGCGAATGAGCAAGAGGGAGAGGGAGAGAGACGAAGAGCGAGAGGGAGACAGACTTGTTGCTAATTACAATACTTTCATTCAATTTCCACATTCGGTTGATTTTCAATTTTACCAAACCAATTGCCATTTCCCAGGTCCCATTTCTGTTGAGGATGAGGTCGATGTGGATGTTGTTGACTGCAGCGATGCTGAGGAGCCGCCAGCCAAGGCGCGACGCCTTAACCACCATCATCATCATCATCATCATCATCAGCATCACCAACATCATCAGCAGCAGCAGCAGCACAGTCACAACAACAACAGCGTGTCACACAAGAGTCGCAATGGCGCCGTCGCCGCCGCCGAATCCCAGCTAAACACAAGCTCCACAAGCAGCCAAGGACGCTGCTCAACGCCGCCACAATCGCCGGGCACGGAGGACAGCGAGGAGCGTTTGACGCCCGAACCGGTGCAAAAGGCACCCAAAATTGTCGGCTCGTGCAATTGCGATGATCTGAAGCCGGTGCAATGCCATTTGGAGACCAAAGAGCTCTGGGATCGCTTTCACGAGCTGGGCACCGAAATGATCATCACCAAAACGGGCAGGTAAGCATCCAACATCCAACATCAAGCCGAAATAATCATTAGTTACCAGCCAGTTGGCAAGGGCAGCGCCAGCTATACTCAACTGCAGCAGCTCAGTGTGGAGTGGAAAGTGCCGCCAGAGTTAAGGCTTTTGTATTGTAATTGTAATTGATTTTATGAAGCGCACTTCACTGCATTTGTATATAATTAAAGGTATATTAGCGCCTAGCAAAGGTAAAGAGTTGAAATAGATACAAAAATGGACACTTTTTAGGCAGAAATGTCGTTCGTATAGCTTGTCCCTGCTCGGGCATTGTTATCCTTAGCGTATGTTGACTTCCTTATTATCTTTAACATCAACATCTTTAGCACTAAATATGCCTCAGATATCATATTCCAACAATTGGTCTAAGGAGCATATAGCCCATATTTTTGTCATTCACATTTCTTCTTTGAAAGTCCAAACTTCCTTAAACCTTTTGCAAGCGCATTCAAATATGTCAATATATCATATCATATTACATACATATATATATGTTAGTATATCACATTCTACCACATTCAATCAATCACATATCAGATGCCCGCCATCCCATATTCAGTTAATGCCATTTTTAGTCCCTGTTCGAGCGCCTTTATCCTAAGATAAAACTTTTCAAACAGCATTATTAACTTTTCTTGAAACAACGTTTCTAGCGATTTAAAGCAGCCTTTCATCATCATGTTCAATCATAATACATTAACTCTCAGATACAGATACAATTTCTTTTTCCCTTATATTCCAATGAATTTCATTCCATTCCATTCAAAGTTAATTCTACATTATTAAGTTTCTGCTCCAATTTCTAACCTTTGCATGTTGCCACACATATTTCTCTTGACTTTCTTGCACACTTCTTCAACTTGTTGTCCAAAACTGGCTGCGAGCATGTCAAATTTTTGCAATGTCAACACAAATTTCATGCAGTTGCTCGCACAAAAGCCGAGCAAAGGACATACATTAAACCGTGTGCGGTCCCCAGGCAACAATTGCAAAAGATTTTGCTCGATCTACCTGTGCATGGCACGCAAAAACGCGCCAAGCCCAAAGTCAACCGCATTTGTCTTCCTATTTTTTTCTGGGCGTTCCTCTTGTCAGCAGGCAGAAGAGAAGGGGCAGAATGGAATCAGAAATCAAGGCTACAATGACCACGGGTTGTCCACACCTAGGCTCCCACACAGCTGACCACACAGACTGAGCTAGTTAAGGGCCCCGGGAGAGGAGAGGACACACACACGCACACAACTCTGTTTAATGATATTGTAAAAATCACACCTTAGAATGCACAGACAGACAGTCGGACAGTCAGACAATCAGGGCGGTCCTCCGGTTATGTCACACGCAGGCTTAGAACGCATTAAAGCCACAGGATGCCAGCCCTAAAGAGTTTGCCTTTTGTGCGCACTTGTCAAAGCAGCTCGATGAGAGAAAAAGGGCGTAGACAAAAAAAAAAATGGATAATAATAATATTTTCCCCCCCCTAAACCAGAGCTAGGGTTATAAATTAGAGCATTACTAGAGTTGCCAGCTCGTAATTAATAATACAAAAAAAAATGGTTTGAAATTCCTTAAATAAAAATCTCTTCCTTTTTTCTTCTGATTCTCCTTTTACAGACGCATGTTCCCCACGGTGCGCGTCTCATTCTCTGGGCCATTGCGTCAGATCCAACCTGCCGATCGTTATGCGGTGCTGCTGGATATAATACCGATGGACTCGAAGCGCTATCGTTATGCATATCATCGGTCCGCTTGGCTGGTGGCTGGCAAGGCAGATCCAGCTCCGCCCGCCCGCCTCTATTCCCATCCGGATAGCCCATTCAGCTGCGAGGCGCTGCGCAAACAAGTTATCTCCTTCGAGAAGGTCAAGCTGACTAATAACGAAATGGATAAGAACGGACAGGTGAGTTGCGAGCTGTGCCCACAGTTTGGGCAAGGGGCGAACGGTGGGGAGATCTCTTCGACTTGCTGGAGATTGTGGGCGCGATAGACGCGTGTTAAATGATTGATAATTGTGTCAGGTTCTGAATCTTTGCTTGGCCACATACAAAAGAAGAGGCTAGTCGCGTCTGCAGTAAAGCTAAGAACAGTTGCAGAAATAATTTTAACAACAATATTGTTACGAATTCCGTGGATTTCTTAGCCATTTTTAGCCTTCAAATCGCTTAAAATATATAGGGATATATTTTTAAGGAATACCCCTAATATTAGTTTCAGTTTTTTTTTCGAAAAATACATTTTATATAATGATAATATTTTGATAATATATAAAAGCAATTCAATATTAGTTTGCTTCTTCACATATAAAAGACATTTCATATTAGTTTCATCAATAATATAAAAAGAGAATCTCATATTAGGGGTATTCCTAAGACTCTAATTTATTATGATAACTTTGTTTAAACAATTTTGTAACCCTTTACCACAAAAAATATTCTTGTATCAAAGCAAACGCTGCTGAATTTATATTTTTATCACCAAAGCATATATCAAAGTGCCGTAGGGGTATTCCCATCAATATATTAAATCCACTCGCAGCTTAGTTAAATTCATTTCAATATTTTTGGGTCAAAATCTATTGGTTAAAATACATAAAAATATCAATCGATAGAAATATCGCCTGGCATTTAAGCTAATAACTACCCTATATCTTTCCACATAACCTTCAAACACATTCAACTAATCTTTGCACAATTCTCTCCCAATTTTTTTCGCCCCTCCCTCTAGATTGTGCTCAACTCGATGCATCGCTATCAGCCGCGCATTCACCTGGTGCGCTTGTCGCACGGCCAGAGCATACCCAGCAATCCGAAGGAGCTGCAGGATCTCGACCACAAGACCTATGTGTTCCCGGAGACGGTATTTACGGCGGTCACTGCGTATCAGAATCAGCTGATAACCAAATTGAAAATCGATTCGAATCCGTTCGCCAAGGGCTTTCGCGACTCGTCCCGCCTGACGGACTTCGATCGGGATCCAATGGAGGCGCTGCTGCTGGAGCAGCAGCTACGCTCACCGTTGCGCCTCTTTCCCGATCCGTTGATGCAACAGTTTGCGGCACAGCAGGGCGCCGCCGATCCCGCCTCGATGGCGCTCTTCGAGAAGGCGCGCCAGCATCTGCAAATGTTCGGCGGCAACTCCCCCTACGCGCAGCTGATGATGCCCCAGATGTATCAGGCGGCAGCGGCGGCGCCGCCACCACCCGGCCTGGGCGCCTTTCACATGTTCCAGCAGCAATGGCCGCAGCTGACCGCCGGCTTTTTGGCCAGCGCCAATCAGCAGGCAGCCGCTGCCCAGGCCGCCGCCCAAGCGCAGGCGCAGGCGCAGGCCGCGGCCGCTGCAGCAATGGCCGCCAATCGCACACCCCCGCCGCCGCCGACAGCGTCAACACCCTCGTCCACGTCGTCGGGATCACCGTCGCCCGATATGCGACCGCGTCAATATCAGCGCTTCAGCCCGTACCAGCTGACCGCGCAGCAGGCAGCGCAGCCGCCGCCGCCATCGACGCACTCGGCAGCGGCGGGCTCGCCGTCGGCGTCCGCCTCTCGCAGCCCCGCCCACTAAGCGAACGGTGGGCCGAAGAAAAAACAGTATTAATCCAAAAAAGCAAAACGAAAAGAAAACCAACTAAGTAAATGTTGTAAATTATTTGTTATACATTAGATCGCTCTCTCGCTCTCTCACTCTTTCCCTTTCTCTCTCACTCGCTCTCTTGCATTTTTGTTGTACAAAATTTCCAAAATTTCGACCTGTGTACAGTCTACAAAAGTTTAGAAAATTTTGTACATTAGCCTAGAAATTATTGTAAAAAGTGTTTAAATGTTGTTCGAAAACTCATCTCAGTGTAAAGTTTAAACAAAATTCTCAACAAAAGCAAAATTAATAAAAAAAAAAATTATGAATAATTAAAGAAAAAATTTAAAGCTGCTTCACCTATGTAAACACTAAATGTTAGTTATGCTATACAAAAACCCTATATATATATATAAATAAATATATAATAATAATATATTCCTAGTATTTACATAAATTCATAGACGCTTCAGTTAGTTTTATTTATATGAAAATTTTAATTTAAGTTTTAACAAAAATTTTGGAAAACAAAAATAAAAAAAAAAAATTATAATAATATATGTTTATTCAGTGTGAAGAAACAAAAAAATATTTAAAGAAAATTTATTAAACAAAAACAAAAATAAAAAAAAAACAATAAAAAGTAACTACATGAACCAAAAAAAATTCGTTTTCTTATTATTTGAACTTTAAAGAAAATATATATATATATTATTAAACAAATAAATAAAAAAAAAACAAAAAGTTAAAACAAGTTTGCGTTTTGTTATTATTTGAACAAAAGACAACTTTTAGGGATAATTATTAAAGCAAAAAAAAAACTATAAAAATAAAATCAAAAAAAGGAAGAAAAAAAACTCTTGTTATGGGAAGAAAAATATAAGAATAAAGTATATCAATTTATTAATATTTTTAATTATTGGTTTAACAATGAGTTGAAGTAAAGGGTAGATAATATATAAATAATAGAAATAACCCGGCATTGCACAGCTCGGCAACCAGAACCCTACACGCACAAGCTATTCGCAACAATCGCAAAGGTCAACATCACCGAATGTGCAATGGCCAATTCTCACTCTAAAGGAAATTTCTCCGTAATCAAGTCTAGTCTATTGTTTCTACGGAGTTGCGAGCATTGAGCTGTGTGTCTACTAGTATATCGATGCATAGTCTACTGAGTTAAGCAAGCAGCTGCTGTTGACAGGCACAACAAATTCCAATTAGGACTGGATGTACGCTAGATTTACCAATTGAAACTCTCCACTAAGAGTCGGCTACACAAAAACTTCACACATTTCCAGCTCTAAAAATCCTTTTCATTTTTCAACTGGTAACTTTTAACATGCCGCTTAAATTACATTTAGAAAAAAACACTTGACTGCAACTAGGCAAATATCCTGTGTGCGCACAAAGTGGGAATTTCTGACACGTCTGCACTTGCTTCGTCACACCGCACACTCAGCACATCCTGCCAAATGCGTGCGGTGGGATCCTTGCCCCAGGACTAGGCCTAGGCATAGGCGTGATTCCTCAGTTGGCAGCAAGGCGTTGCGGCAGAACAAATTGAAAGCAAGGCAAGAGACGAGCAGGGGGAAAACTGTTTAACGAATGCATTTTCATGGTCACTCAAAGTGAAATTCCTCCTCTGTTTCTTTTGGAAGAAAACTCGTTGGCCAGAGAATACGATTGATACGCAGACTGCTGACGGCGACTGTGCCGAACGCTGAGAGTTGGATAATCCTGTCTCGGCGGGTTCTTGTCTTGTTGCCGGGGCTAAGCGTAGCCAAATGTTATTGAAAGTTTGTTTGGCCCAACAAAATAATATTCCAATTAAATCTTGAGCATGCGGCCACTTAAGCAAAATAAATGACATGCTGCACATTTAGATATAAAAAAGACAACCATCGGCAGGAAAACCTTTAACAATTATAAAGAAATTAACTTTTAATGTGCGCCAGGATAAAGATCTCAACCGAAAAAAACAAAGCACTTTCCATAATTAGCTGAGGCGGTTATTGAAAAAAAGGCCAAATTATATGTATATGTAAAAATTAGCCAAAGGTGCTATCGACATTTGTCTATCTGGCACCTAGCGTGAACCCCGAATTTAGTTACATTTAAGTGCCCGCCCCGCCCCTATCAGCTATAGCCGATCTGTGGCTTGTCTCTCGACTAATTACAAACTAATCACAAAAAGGAACTAAACAAACATTAGGCTATCAGCTAGCCAACGATCTTTACAGGAGCTAACTGAACAGAAAAACAGGGTATAAAAACAAGAATGTGCGGATATCTACAGCTAGCCGAAGAGTGAATACCCTTGTAGACATTGCTTGTCAATGCTGAGTTTTATGAAAAACGAGAATATTTTGCCAGATAAGAAACTACTTTTCGATCTTAATCTTTCTTATTGCATCCATAATATATAGTGATCCGTTGTTGGCAAGAGTTTTCATATTTAGGAAGCATAGTGAACCTTATAAATGCCAAGCTTGATTCTTGCTCATGCAAGAACCTAGTTTTGAATCGATCGTTCCTATGGCAGCTATATGATATAGTGGTTCGTTCCAGAAAGATTTACCTATACAAAGTTTCGAGACGAACTGAGAAACTGGTTCTCATATGAACCGAGCTAGACGCACTTGGCTATATCAACTCACCTGTTGATGCTGATCTAGAATGTATATAGTTTATGGGATTGGAGAAGTCTAATCCTATGCGTTATACATTGCATGAAAGACGTATAATACCTTTCATAAATAATACCCTATACATATAATAGGCACATAATACTCTATGCGCACATGTCAAAATGTCGTAGCTAATTTATAAGCAAGGCCGCCAAAGATCCATGTAGTAGCTCTGCAGTGTCAAAACAAACAAAACTCATTTGAAGAGGGACAGAGAGAAGGGCGAGAGGGGGAGGAGAGAGTGCCACTCCCTTGGCATAAATTGTGTGTGTGTGTGTCTTTCCTTTTGGCGTTTTCATTTTAATTTGAATGTAAATGAATGCTGCGACATTGGCCCCTCGCACATTATGCGGAGCAGCTGTGAATATGTCTGAAAGTTCTCCCCACCCCCCCTCACACAAACAACCTACTCCACGCCCCACACATCCACAAATCAGCGCTGGCAGACGACAAGACAGTTTGGGGCGCAGGCGGCGCTTGTCTTGAGGTTAAATGTCAGAAGGCGCTACAAAACAGCGACAAAATATTTAATTTTTGGGGCGTTTGTAAATATTTGAGGCACTTAATTGGGGGTTGCTTCGTTTCGTCCATTGATTTATGAACTCGAGCGGTAAACGGTCCTAAGCTGCGGCAAGATATAGCTGAAGGCTTAGCTCAGCCGCAGAGGCCGTTCATGTAACTGATTCAAAAAAAGTAGTTCCGGTTCGGTTTACTTATGAACTGGTAATAAATATTGCTTAAAACTTTGATTTAAGTACTCAAGAATTTAGTCAAGCTAAAATTAGTATGCTTAAGAGTTTTATGCTGACATTTTTACTAAAGCTTTAAGCTGAAATTTGTACTAAAGCTTTCTTTTAGATCGAAATTGAGAACTAAGACGACGATTTAGAGAATTCGACCTCCAACAACAACAACTACACATAAGTGTATTTTGCGAACGCGATGTCATGAGTCTGCGTGACTTAGGTGTCTGAGTTTGAACTAGGAAGCAAGAAGTCGCCGGCTCAAATCCCGCATAGACGCGAGATGGCAATGCGAAAGGTTTTATGTCCAACCGAAGTTGAGTTTAACAATCATCATGTCCGAGTAGTTCCCTCCAGCACAATAAAAAAATACTTTGAATAACTTTTTTCAAGAATTCAGCTGCTTCAAATAAGCATACACTGTGCTCAATCGAATTAACAACATAGCAACATTAACAAGCTCAAGCTCTATATTTGATTTTATTTTAGGTATAAATTTCAGCAATTTAAGCAAATTTTTTAGAATAAGAATTTTCTTTTCAAGTTTTCAAAATTTTATTTAGGAATTTCGGGACTTTAAGCACCTTTTTTTAAGAAGGATTTATTTTTAATTCTATTTTATATCTGTGGGCGTATTCTGATTTCGATATATATGACTTTCATATGTTTTATAGCTCTATATTGTGCCCAAACTTTCAAACTCTACGAGAAATTACAATTATCCAACTTTAGTCCAGTCGCTTCTTCTCTTCAACTTGCCCTATTCTTTGTTTTTGGTGTTTGCCTTTGGCACACTTTGTGCTGCTGGGGATGACATTTACAAACTGAACTGGGCAATCAACGCGCCGCTGCCACGCCCCAATCATTAACCCGAACATGACCAGGCAAAGAGTGTTTTGGCCCCTAACGGTAAATGGGCAAACACTGGCAACACTGGCAACACTGGCAACACTTGCAACATAATGCGGCACGTGCTGCAGCAATTGCCACGTGTGTGTCGGCGTGTTTGTGGAGCCCATTGGGCAATGGATGAGTCGAGTGGATGAGTCTCTGAGGATCTGCGGCCTGAACCTGTGCCATGACGTTGCCAATTGCCCCCCGCCCTGCCCCCTTCCCACTGCCCTCTTCCCACTGCCCTGGCTGCCACACAGCCTGCTTTGGCGCCGGCCGAGTGAAAATTTGTAGAAATTAACTTTTTTTTCTTTTGCCTATTTTTTTGTAATTAAATGAAATTGCAGAAAAATCAATAAATTAAAAAGCCGACATTGTCATTGTTGTGCGGCTAGAGATCTATGGGGTTTTTGTGGTATCTATTAGATTGTATCAGGTAAGGGTCGCGGGTCTCAACTGCCACCTGGTAATGACTTTATAAACACACACACACACACAGGCACACACATCAGTGTAACATGTCAAATGGCAGCGAACGAACCTCAACTTGTCCCATGCAACTGTCAAGCTGGCGAGTCTAGAAAATCAATTAGATGGCACTGGACTTGGG